TTTTTAATTAGAAAAGAGTGCTAAAGCAGGAGATGTGACAAGTCATTGGTACAATGCAGAACTGAACTCGGGTAAAAAGGCTGCCAAGCCAGTGTCCCTTTGGACACACAACTGGATTCAGTTGCCAATTTTCACAGGCTTTTTCAGCATACCTGAGCAAAGGAGTCCTTTCAGTCACTAACGTTTGATCCTGTCCCCTCTGTAAGATGGAAGATAACTGTATACCTTCCTTTCCAGCAAAACTTTAAGCAATACAGTGAACGTCATGGTAAGATCCCTACTTTCTGAGGCCATTGCAAACAGATATTAGTGAACTGAAGGCAAGACCAGGATTCTTCAATGAATAGAATAGTTCAGTTGGAAGGGACCTACAACGATCATCTAGTCCAACTGCCTGACCACTTCAGGACTGACCAAAGGTTAAAGCATATTATTAAGGGCATTGTCCAAATGCCTCTTAAACACTGACAGGCTTAGGGCATTGACCATCTCTCTAGGAAGCCTGTTCCAGTGTTTGACCACTCTCTCTGTAAAGAAATGTTTCCTAATATCAAGTCTGAACTTCCACTGTTAAAATATCCCTTGGGAGCCTAAGAACTTTTTGGTGGTGCTCACTTGTAGTTCTCTTGCTCAATCAGATTACTCAAAAGCAATGGAAGAAATTACCTATGCATCTTTCTGCTAAATTTTACCCTGTAACATTCAACTCTGCCTAGTTAGTAAGAGCTTCCTTGGAAACAGCGTAGTTCATTTTAAAATATTAGTTTCTCAATTCTGAGAGGAAGTGATTCATGACAGTCCTCCACCAGTGTTAGTCTGGATTTTGTCACCCTCAGTGAGTTGTGGATCATTACTTGGAAGTGTCACTGCTTCTGCTGAGGTTGCCTGTTTCCAAGACTGAAATGATGGGTGGGGAAAATCTAGATCTGCTGAAAGCAATGAGGCATCTACCTCCATATCAGAAGGTGGTGTTATTTCTGCTTAAGCTTCTCAGCCACGAACTCTCTCCAGGGTGCTTGAGCCAGATAAGCCTTTGTTGTGGTTGTCTTTGCAGGGAGAGAAGAACCTTCAGGTCCTTCTTGCCATGTTTTCTGGCAAGCATTTAAGCCCAGTTCCCACAGACCTCATGTGACTGTTATAGCTACCAGACTATGAGATGTGTTTAGGGGAATCTCCCATGTTGACAAGCTGTTCTACTTTGCACAAAAAATAAAAAGAGAAACCAGTGTGATAGCCCAGCTGTTGTGCAAAACAGTGGGATGCAGAAAGGCCAGGTTCAAGTCCTACTTCAGTGAATATTTCCTGTCCAAAATATTCAGTGTTTTCCCATTTGTATTTGCCTGTTCTCTCATGTGTGGGTAAGCTGATGGTAAGCGCTTGCAAGCAAAGCAGCTCACGACATTCCTGTTTTTGAATTTTCCTAGGGACATCGGAGGAAGAACTGGAAAGTGAGAAAGTTTGTTTTAAGAGAGGACCCGGCATATCTTCACTACTATGATCCTGCTGGAGTAAGAGACATTTGGTTTATTTCCCTGTTTGTTTTAAAGCCGACGCCTTGTAGAAATATCTGAATGGAGTATTTGCATGGGAATGTGTGATAGGGAAGACCAAGCAGGACAGCGGGGCTGTTTGTGCTCATAGGGCCTAACCATCCTCTGGAAAAGCAGAGTGAAGGATGGTTTCTGGGACTGTCAAGTCAGGGTCGCAAGTGCCACCCAGACCTGGGAACAGGTAACACTGAACTGTGCTCTCACCTGTTATCTATGGTTAATTAGAATTAATGTGTGCTCTCACTTGATTTAAAATGAACTAGGTCATAAGTGCAAATGAACACAATACAGTCATTTTGCAGTTTATAATTGAGGTATTTTCTGTGTCAGGCTGAGACGTGGTGTTCTGTTTCTTGTGTAATTCTAACGGGCCAAACCCTGCCCTAAGAAAGGAAGGAGCGTTGCCATGGGCAAAACCTGCCCCCCAAAAGCTGGCATTCAGGTAGATTCAGCCCACAGGTTTTATTTCATCCTGCATTGCTGCAGGAGCAGTGCTGTTGTGGGTTACAGGTGCTTTATGCCTTGCCTGTCCCCCTTGGCAGGGGCAGCGTAGACACACTGCAGAATCAACACTGAGGAGTTTTTGACCTCCGTATTCCCAGCTTGCCTATCCTGCTCCTGGCATCCCCTCCCAAAGGGCTGAGGTGTGTCAGCTTATAGGGACTATTTCTTTGAACCTTATGCCAACAAAAATGCCTCTTCGCCCATTCTCTGACTATAACAGTCCTGAAGTGCACAAGAGGCCAAATTGTAAATAAGGGTATAGCTGCTCCTGCTGCTTGGTAAGAATACTTCTAAGATCTACTCTTTTTCTAACTAATCTTTTTTTCTATTCACTGTGTCATCAAAAGAAAAGTTATAGTTGGCACAAGGCTTATATTCTTCTTGTACCTTTGTTCAGGACATGCTAAATACTCTGCATATCCTAAATTCCAAATACCAAAAGAGATTTCCTATTTATTTGCAAGTCTTCCCCCTACCACCCC